CAACCAGGGTTTTGCTAAAAGCCTAGCTGCCAAATGGAGAAAGTCTGACTAGCAGGAGGAGGAAAGAGAGGGAACATGGTAGTTATCACCACCACCATCATCACTGCATTCTACTTGTTCTTCTTGCAGGAGCTGAAGCTCCAGCAGCAGCCTGGCTGCCTGGAAAAAGCAAAAGCGGCTTTTCCCCTCCTCACAAGAGGAAGGGAGAAATAAAGCCAAAATGGGGCTTTCAGAGCTGGTGTACCATCTGAGAGGTAGGTTTTAACTTTCATAACTCTTTTAACATTTTGGTGAAAGAGATCCCAGAGTAGCTGAAGTTTTTCTGTAGTAGAGGTTGATTCCATGGGAAAGTTGATCTTGACCAAAAGCTGAAGAGAGTTTCTTTGGGGCCACAAAGTACCTAAGGATCTCTTGGCTGGGGTTCCTTGTAAAAGGACTGGAGGTGTCTGTGGAGAAGGGGTTACTCTCATTCCATTTTTGTATTCAGTAGTCTTGGAATTTTGACTACCAGAGACCTGCCTTTGGTCCTTCTGATGTCACTGTTACAGTAAACACTATCCCACATTCACGATCAAATTGTGTGCAGATACTGGGACTTGCAATTCAGCAATATCTGGAGGGTGACAGATTATAATTAAAAATAATTTCCCCATCTTTAAACCCATGAAGACAATTTATATTAACCTCTTAAATTGTAAAATTGTAAAGATAGAACCTCTTTCATCATTTTCAGGAGAACACTAAAAATTCAAAAGTTTCCAATTGAAGGACTACAGATACTCCCCATAGTTACAACAGCACTGAAAAAGTGATTTATGACCATTTTTCATACTTATGCAGCATCCTGGTGGTCATGTGATCAAAATGTGGACGTTCTGCAACTGGAATGTATTTATTGGATTTGGATTGGATTTATTACATTTATATGCCGCCCTTTTCCCCGAAGGGGACTCAGGGCGGCTCACAATTCAGTCAGGGAAGGGGGTACAGACAGGGGGATAAAATTTATAATGGTTGCAATATTCCCAGGGCCATGTGATCATCTTTTGTGACCTTCTGACAAACAAAATCAATGGGGAAACTAGATTCATTTAACAATCTTCTTACTAATTTAACAACTGCAGTGATTCACTTAATAACTGTGGCAAGAAATGTGATAAAAGAGGGAAAACTCACTTAACAACTGTCCTGCTTAGCAACCGAAATTTTGAGCTCAATCATGGTCATAAGTCCGGGAGGATGTATTATGTCATCTAAATCCTATACATCTAAAAGTTGGGTTTTTTGCAAATAGGTTAACAAAATATCACAACAATAAAAAGGAAAGTCAAAAATCCTTGTATTTATATACAAAAGCTAAATAAGAATATTAAAATACTTTAAAATGAATTAAGCAAAAGGCTTGAGCCCAAGGAAATATCTGATGATAATAAGAAGGTATCACAATAAGGAAAACAAGATAAAATACATTAATAATAATAACAAGAACAAGAATCAATTACATCAGAAAGAAAACAAAATTATTGGAAAAAAATGAATGGTGTACCAGAAATGTAAGGCTATTGCAAAAAAAGTAAATGAATCCTATGTACCCATCCTACCTGTGGAAGATATGAGAGTTACCTATGTCTAAATTTTTATTTTCAGAAGGTCTTTATAAAGGCAATAAAAGTAACAGAAAGTGAAGTTTCAAAACTTATGACAAAGAAAACAGGTCAAGACTATATCATCAAAAATTCTTAAAAGAACTCACTTATGTAAATGTTATTTAATAGAATATAAAATGTTTATCAGCTTGTACACAAGAGGAGTGAGACATTGTCAATACAATAAAATAGTTAACATTTATTCCAAATCAATTAGTTGAAATCATGTTAAAAATAGGTCATTGAAAGCAACATAAGGCCAGATGTAATAAAAGGATGAGCCACGATGGTGCAGTGGTTAGAGTGCAGTACTGTAAGCTACTTCTGCTGACTGCTGACTGTAATTTGGCAATTCAAATCTCACCAGGCTCAAGGTTGACACAGCTTTCCATCCTTCCAAGGTGGGTAAAATGAGGACCCAAATTGCTGGGGGTAATATGTTGACTCTGTAAACCGCTTAGAGAGCGTTATAAAGCACTGTAAAGCAGGTATATAAGTCTAAGTGCTATTGCTGTTGCTATTGTTATTCATGAAAAAATGAGTCATGAGTCCAAAGGAGTGGTTGAGGGATGACATTTTTCTCCCTATTAACATTGATTGGGACAGGCCTCAGAGAAAGAAACTGAACCAGTGCAATACTGTGCTGTCCAGCCTCATCCCCCATAGCCAACCCAAAAGGATACTGTGGTTGATGGTATCAAAAGCTGCTGAGAGATCAAGGAGAGCAAGAATGGATGCACTACCCCTATCCTGCTTTCACCATACATACATATAATGTATGTATAATGGTGTAACATAATTGTGTTTATAAAGTACTAGTTGATAACCTGGTGTTGCCCTGGTATTTATTTATAGGAGGATAATCTCCGGACCAAACGTAATTTGATCCGAAGCCATTTTATGACAGTACAGTAGAAGCCATATTAAGGCACAACAGGCTGTATCTGTATCTTAATAGAACACACACACCAAGGGGTGTTAAGGGTTTCTTACTTCCACAGGATTTGTTTCCAGAGGGTAAGTCATCTGTGTACTATGGTGTACCAGAAATGTAAGGCTATTGCAAAAAAAGTAAATAAATCCTATGCACCCATCCTACCTGTGGAAGATATGAGTTACCTATGTCTAATTTTTTTATTTTCAGAAGGTCTTTATAAAAACAATAAAAGTAACAGAAAGTGAAGTTTCAAAACTTATGATAAAGAAAACAGGTCAAGACTTTATCATCAAGAATTCTTAAAAGAACTCACTTATGTAAATGCTATCTAATAGAATATAAAACATTTATCAGCTTGTACACAAGAGGAGTGAGACATTGTCAATACAATAAAATAATTAACAAGTTTGGTTGAAATTGCTCGAGGCGTTCCAGAGTTATGCTGGAACATACATACACACACACAGCCATTGATTGATTGATTGATTTCAAATGCTTTGAATTCACATTGTTAGAATAAAAAAATACTCTAGTTCAATCTTCTGCACATTCAGTAACTTTAATTAAGTTCCACAGGATTTATACCTAAACGCATAATACTTAAGTCTTACAGCCCCATTCCAAGAAATACAATGAAAAAAATTAATTCCTAATGAAGACCAATTTAATGTGCCTTGGATTTTTTCTATATCTTCTAACATCTAAAAGAATTACAAGGTGTTTTTTTTTAAAAAGCAGAATGCACTTTTGCATTTTCTATAATTTCCAAATACCAAATATATTGAGATCTTGGAAGAAGAATATTTTATACCAATTAAACAGGGACTCATTATTATAAAAAGTATTTACTCTAGTAAAAGCAATTGAATCTAAGTTCCAAGAATTCTTTCTACACAGAGCAACATCTAACAGTATATCCAACTTTGTTCATAGAAAAATTGTCTGACTTTATTTTCTTTACGTTCTATTTTCTATCTATCAGAGGAGTTATAGATTTCTGTTATGCATTATGGACGTATGGATTATGCAACCAAAGAATTGCTTCTTTGTTTCATCCCAAAATAAACTTCAGGAGTGTTTTGGTACAACTCGCTGTGCACTTAAGTGTGTGTATGTGTGTGTGTTGCAGGTAGTCCTTGATTAACAACTTGTCACTTGGCAATTGTTCAAAGTTGTGGCAGACACCCCTCCCCGAGTTATTTGACCTGGTCCTGAAGTTATAGTCACCGCAGTGCCCTCACAATCATTCACCCTTATAACCAATCACAGAAAGGGCCTTCTTGGGCATTCTTCCCACTCCACCTGCCCCACACTGTCCTCTTCACTTACCTTTCAAAGATCTCCAAAGCTCTAGACTTTGAATTAGGGAAACAAAATGGATCACTTTGTTGTATGGCTGCCCAATACAGTTTTGGAACAAGCGCCATTTTCTGAACAGCTGCACTGAAATGTGGCTGCTTAGAAAATGGCCACTTCTCGAATCGCACCATGCAGTCATGTGATAAAGCAATCTGTTCTGCTTTCGTAATTCAATCTGAGAAATTCTGTGGAAAGCTCTAGAGTTCTGGAGATATTCAAAAGTTTAGGGCCCAATGGGTAACAGGGAGGCAGGGAGGAGAAAGAACTGACAGGACTCTGAGTGGGGAACAGACCCCAGGACTATAGGGATCCCAAGGGTTAAGAAGCGAAGTACAGGGTGTTTCAAGTGGTGGGCAGAGCCTTGGAAAGCTCAGGGCAAATGGGTCTGGACCAAAGCTAGGCCTCCCAGGGCCTCCCCCACCCCTGAGGCACCCCATGCTCCTCATAACGACCTACAAGGTAATTTAATGACTGCATTAGAGAGAACAGGGGGTGAGGATTATTAAGCAAGACTGTCTCACTTAATGACTTCACCAGTTGAAACTGTAATGAGCAGACTCCATTATGGTCATAAATCAAGGACCACCTGTAACTAAAATAATGTAGCAATAAGGTGTTATTAGGCTGAGCCACAAATCATTTCTGCTATTTGGTAGAATCTTCAGAGAGGCTATAGACACGATGATAATTCAGGCTCAGGTCACAAAAATTAAGTCAAATGAATACTTAGAACAGGTTTTTCACACTGTATATAGTAGATGTATAGAGGTTTGATTTACATACAGAGTAAGCATTCCAATGGTACCTCAAATACTGGCTATTTAAAATTTAATATCTGCCTCACATCCTGTGAGTTCCTCCCTTCTGCTACTATTCTTTTGTTTTGGTCAGTCCATAATGCACAATGAATATTCAATGAAATTTCAAAAACTTTCATGCTATTATGGAATTATGGTCTGATCGACTTAAAATATGAAAGTTAAAATCTATGCATTTCAAAAAGTTTCTCAATCTACTACCTGTTCAATAATCATTAACTGATTACTAAGGATACTTACTTGCTACTGAAAAGTTGTTAAGAGGATATGGTAGATCCACATCTTGCGGCTTCTCCTTATATCCTATGAAGGAGCCATCTGTCTTCAATAAGAAGTATCTTGGCCTCCAATTTTTTATGTATTCTCCTATATAAAAAAATATTATTAATATAAATGATATCTGAACTTCTGCTTAAAGTAGAAATGGTCAACCAACCAGAAGTGATACTTTCATTCTCTATTTAATTTTAGTTGAGATAAAACAAATAGATTGAATAGGTGAAGCAATAAAGTTGCTTAATTTTTTGTATTTTTAACTAAACATGAACCCTAAATATGATTTACAAATAAAACTAATTTCATGGAAATTATATCCTAGTGAAAGTGTGTGTATGTGTGTGTGTTTCGTGTACATTCATAAAATATCAGGCAGGCTGCAAAGCAGCTGTTTTAAGCTTTCAAGAGACTGCAACTGTTTATGTCTTCATATCTTAAACCCTGAAAGGCATACTGCCTATTATTTCCCAATTTTGTTGACATATGTAACTGTTGCAAATTCATTTATAGATCTATTACCATCTTAAAACCTAAAGAACATTAGGCTATTGCATTATATTTTTATCTACTCTTCTTGCAGTGATATATATTTATATAAATTTATATTTATCACACTGGCTGGCTGATAAGGAGTCGAGCCTTGTAGCTCAATGGTTAACACATCTGCCTAAGAGGCAATAGAGCACAGGTTCGATTCCCAACAAAGGGTGTGGCTAGCTGATGAGAGCTAAATAGCTTGAAATAGATCTATACTAGTCTCCCTTTATTTATTTATCAGCATAAATATAACAAATGTAACAAAAAGGCAACAGTAAAAAAATATTGGGTTTCTGTCTGAATGGTCTCTTGTGACAAGCCGAAGACAGAGAGTGGAAGTGTGACCTTCCTCCCATATTTGGGCATACCAGGGGTTGTGACTTTAAATATATGTATGTATGTATGTATGTATGTATGTATGTATGTATGTATGTATGTATGTATGTATGTATGTACAAGGTTTACAGATATTGGCATGTAAGAAATTTATTTACCAATAAATTTATTTATTTATCAATTTATACTGAAATACAGAAAAACAACAACCAACCTTAGCTAATCTTGAAAAAGCTAAGTATGATCAAGCCTGACCACAATCCACCTTCCAAAGTTTTAGTCTAGGCTGAGATTTTTCTTTAAAATCTCCCAATGGTTATAACAAATTATTTCAAATATATATTTTATAAGTATTACATAAATAATTATTAAATATTAAAAATAATATGTTATTATAGTAATTTATAATAGTAAGTTATTTCCATAAAGCTGCCAAAAAGATTTCATGGATAAGCTTCATAGCTGAACAAGTTCTAAAACAATTTATTACTTGTCTGAGGATTTTTGGGGCGGGGCGGGGGGGGAGGGAAATAAAAATGAATTGAAACTTGCGTAAGTTTTTCTTTATACCTAGGGAACAACAAAAGAATATACAAAAACTCTTTCCTTTTTTCCTCCAAACTTTATTTACAAATAACAAAAAACACAAATTTACAACCCAGGAGATTATTCATTGATAGAGGTGGTATCACTGGAAGGATCTAGCTGAATCTTGAATGTGAGTGTGGATTTGGTGTGTATCCCCACGCCCAACTTTTCTGAAGACAACAATACTTATACGGTAGAATTTTGAAAAAAGTATCCCAGAAACCATTACAATCTGGTATTTCTTATGAAGATATATGTACATGTGATTTTTATGTTTGAATGCTTCTTTTTCCTCCTCCATCTCTTTTCATCTGTTTCATCTCCCACTGCTCATTTGTGGAAGATTTTTCTTTCCTTTCACTCGTATTCAATATGGCTTTTTTTTAAAAAAGAAAAAGGAAAAATAGAAATGTTGACATTGCTTTGCCACCTACAGCTTTAGATGACAAGTATTCAACACACATTGTTCAAACGTGCATGCTTGACTAAACTCACTTAATCGAGGGCACATAACAACAATTAGGACTGTGCAGGGATCTGGAGGCAAAGGGGGGAAATGTGATTATACACACAAACATAAATAACCACACAAACACAAGCTAATCTAAATTGGATTTGTCAAACAGGATTTTAACATCCCTAAGTTTCAAATTCTATCCATGTTTTTATTCTAAAAAGTTAATGTTTCAACTGAAGACTTTTAGTTACAAATTCATAAAGGGAGGAACTACACAACCACAATTGGAACCTGTAAATTGGTCATTAAGAAAATGGTTGCTAAGTGAAACAGTGACCTTATTTCAGCTTTCCTTTGCTTTATAACCTGTGAAGGATATAAAAGCAAGAATTGGTCATAAAGTTACCTATTTTTATACCTACCATAACTGCACTTGCTAAATAAGACAGCTGCTAAACAGGAATTGTCTATAAATGAATCTGCACAAAATGACAGCATGTTCTTATAGGTTGATAGTATTGATTGTATAGTATAATCAGTCGTTTATTTACACAAAATCATCTGTTTGAACTTCTAATCACAGATACTAATTTCAGGAAATAGTTATTGATCAATATGTATTAAGAATCTATATAATTTGTATAAAAACCCTCCCCACCACCACACTTTTCTAAGGTTTATTAGCATTTTAAAAACTTCCTCTAAAGAATATCTTTAGAAGTACATAGTACATACAAACAGAAATGACAATAGTATTGAAATATTATGTAATATCAGAAAATATTCATGATAAAGAGAAGTAAACAAATTAAAACAAATTAGAATTGAATCACTCATATTCGTTCAGCTAAAATTATTCTTTAACTGAAAGAATATACAAAGAATATACACAGAAAGAAGGTACAACTGTATTATAAATATTTACTTTTGGTTAGCAACTTAAAATACATTTATATCGATTCATAAATACAAATAACTGTATAAACAAAGTATAATAATTATAAGAAATATGAAAGTAAATTTCCCCCAAAGACAAATACAGAGGAAAGAAGAATACATCATATTAAAACGCAAAATGAATACATTGTGAATGAAATTGTCATCTGAAACAGTAGTAGTAGTTCTGCTTTAGAGTATTATTTTCTTTCTGCTGTGTTAAATATAAAGTAAACATACCCTGTCATTCTTTTTCTTACAACTAAAGAAGTCTAATTCTGTAAATGCACTGAAGAAAATTAGTTAATTCAAATAAATTCTTCTGGTCAAACAATTTACATTTATTATAGAAAAATAATATCAAATAAAATTTGCCAATTAATTTAGGTATAGCAGAGAAAATTGTTACAATGTATTCCTCTTATAAATAAAAAAGCAATTGTACTGGGAAATTATTACAGAAAATGGATTTAGGTGACATGTAAGTCAATCAAAATATATAAACTAATATATTTATTTTTGTCACTGGACATAACACATTCTGAAGAACCAAAAAAGTAAAACAAACGACAAACCATCACAAGACTAGACTATTTTGTTCCAATGCACATTTAGATATAATAAAACTGATAAATAGGATAAGTGCAAAGTCCATACACTCAAGTATAAACAAGCTGAATGCTATCAAAGTGCTAGCTCATGGTACAATGAAAGAGAAATAATATTAATATATAGAATTTGTTATTATCCAACAAAAATGACATAGTATTTCTGAGATCTACACATGTATAGTATCAGCAGTGTTTGCATAAAATTGTTATTTGGTCCATTTAAAATTACAGTAGAAGATTATATTATAAAAAAAATATATTTCTCTACTTTCAGGGACATTTCAGGTCAGGGGCAATTACAATTTTTACTTTCTCAGAAACAAGTGCATGCAACACTCAACAATTGATCAGTGTCATGATCACCAAATGTCACACACCAACATTAATTTGTCCAAAGGGTGGGGAAAATAGCTGGGGAATTGAACCACTGAGTAAAAGATACTTGCACTTTTGCACTACTAATGGTAAATCACCTGTTTTCTTTGGCATCATTTTTGTTTGCAATAATGGTTCATAATTAACACTGCTTGTAAGACTTCTGCCAAGTCCTAATGTAAAAACCAGGAGGTCTGTGATTTCCTATAGAGTCCTAGGTCATGAAAGACAGACAACTGGAGGCTGAATGGAATTCAGCAGGATCCTACAGTTTAATTGCCATAAGGTCATTACCATAATGCACTGTTATATTGTAGTCCAATCTGCATGTAAAGTCAGAATTGCAATAAAATTATTCCCAAGTGTAAGTTCAGAGCTGACATAAGATACTGTGATCAATGGTACCAGAAGTGATAGCAGAATGGTACAGAAAGATCAAAGAAATCAAGGAGAACCAAAAGAACCAAAATTGGCTCAGATGGGTTTCTGGGACAATTTTTGGAATTAAATCAGTTATGGTAGTCATCTTGGGCTAAAAATCAGCATTTTTATCCCTATCAATAAATTTCAGAATAACTGCAAATTCCATTGAAGCAGCCACAACTTTCTTACATAGCACTCCCTTAGGAGTAATGGCTTCCAGATTTTGGTCACATTCTGTAGGATAGCCCATTTAAAGTAACTTGGTTCAAAAACTGTTGCCCTATTATGGACCACTTTGCCCTGTTAAAGGTCATCACAATAAGTTTTAGTAGTATCCAGATATAATTATTTAAAATTAAACAATTATAGATGAGACTTCCGGTGGGCGGGGCCTGACAGAGGGTTGTTATCTCTAACAGCTCTGGAATCTTGGCGTCGTTAATCTGTCTAAACAGCAATCTATCAAGCTGTTTAGCAGTTTATTTATCCTCCCTTCGGGCTTAGAAGAGAGAAATGAGCAGCTATGCATCGGAAGTTTTCCAACTAGCTCTTTCAATATAAACGCTGGGAGGAGAATGGGAAAGCACCGGCGGAAACATGGCAGCTCCATGCCAGGATTTATTCTTCTGCCTTTTGTTGCAGAATAAAGGTTTTC